GCATGTGACCATGTGTGCATATAACTGTGTATTTGTATATGTATGTGCATGTTAAAAAAAAAAGTGTGTAGGCCTACTGTGTATGACCTGTATAAAAACGCGTGTGTGTGTGTACGACAGAAACTGAATTTCATTAATTAATAAAGGTCCATCTTCTTCTTCTTCTTCTTCTTCTTCTTCTTCTTCTTCTTTTTCTACCATGGCTTTACACAGAATTTGTATAATTTAAAATTATCTCGAAGGTTCAATAAAGTCTGGACGACCACTTTTCTTAGACTATTACTTCTAATTATAGAGACATTTTACATCACCAAGGTGACGTCCGATATACTCTCAAACCCACTGCTGACACCAGTATAAGAAAGAAACAAGAAAGCAACATTTTAACGCTAAAGTTAAATGTTGGGTATGGAACTTGTCCATTGCATTAGGATGAATTGTGTTTTCCTGAATATTATTTTCCATTCCTCCAAAGCATGACAGAACTCGTGTCTATATTATCCTCGAGCGTCATCGTTAATGTTTTCTGTAACACCTGCGAAGAACATCAAGGTTTTCCTTTAACCAATAGGAAGGAAGCTCTTGTGACTTCGGCCAATCAGATCCATCTGCTCTCCCCTCCTTGTAATTTAACTTGTGTATAAATTGCCTTGCATAGCTAGCCTGGTGCTAGCAGCATCTCACGCAGCACTCCTTGAAACGCAGCTGTGAGAGTTAATTCAGTCTCTTAATCCTGTTTTCCAGCCCTCGACACACAGCAACAGGAAACATGGTGAGTATGGAACATTTAAAACGTGTTATGTTAAATTAAACCAGCCACATAGAGCACATGTCATGAATTATAATTGTAATCAATTTATATTGATGGCAGAAGCTAATTGCAGAACTTTTAACAAGAGTTAACAATGCCTCCAGTGAAAGGTCTGCTAACAAAGTTTTATGCGAACTTTTTTAATGTGACTTATTTAGGGTTATTATGTATTTTTTTTAAACCGAGAGAGAGGAGCTTTTTTAATTACATTTTTGGGCATTTTAAAAACAAATCCTTCCCTGTCTTTGCAGTGTGCACAATGACCCAGTTTGAGTATATAAGTATTCTGGTCACACTCCTGCTTAACTGCATATTTTAAAGGGACTTGCTGCCACCCCTGGGTTTCCAAATAAATGTACGATCAGACACTTTAATCTATATTTAACAGATTATACTACTGGTTTAAAAACTGCATGTGTGTGGGAAAAATATGACCACAGCTCTGTTTTGTAGGTAGACTAAACATGATGTCCCTCTAAAGATATTTAATGTAATATAATCTCAACATGCGAAAATTGTTGCCTGTATGTTTATTTCTTGTATACATGCATCAATATCTCACATCCATTTGTTTTATTGCACGATTTCATATCTTTCTATGTCTTAAGTATACTGTGCATGAAGTACAGTGTTAAAGGAGCCTGAGATTTAGGATTTGCATTGGCAACAAGCACGCTGTTGTGCATATGACAATAAAGCCTTTAGATCGTGTTCTGCCTTAATCATATTTTATGCACAGACAATCGGTTATGTGTTTATTTTGATGAACTGATTCCTTTTCATGGCTGTAAATACATGTCAACTGACTCGGTCATGATGGTGTTGTATCTGTTCTTCACAAAGGATCCTTTAATTTTAACCCCACGCTTAACCCCCCCCCCCTCCATGCCTTCGGATATTGTGCCCACTTTAACATGTGATGATCTCAAGCATCTTATAAGACATGGAAAAACTTATAGCTGTGTGACGATATTTATTGTACATTTTACACATTGCTGTTTTCCTCCAGCGTGAGTGCATCTCTATCCACATCGGTCAGGCTGGAGTCCAGATTGGCAATTCATGCTGGGAGCTTTACTGCCTGGAACATGGGATCCAGCCGGACGGACGGATGTCCAGTGACAAGACTCTTGGTGGCACAGACAATTCCTTCAACACCTTTTTCAGTGAGACTGGAGCTGGAAAGCACGTCCCCAGAGCAGTTTTTGTGGACCTGGAGCCCACTGTCATCGGTAAACTCAATACATTGAAATGTCATAGTTTCCTCTTTGTTTCAGAAAAACAAACCCTGAATGGATTTCTGATTTAAATCTATTTTTTAGATGAGATTCGCTCCGGGATCTACCGCCAGCTGTTCCACCCTGAGCAGATGATCACTGGCAAGGAGGATGCTGCCAACAACTACGCCCGAGGACACTACACCATCGGCAAGGAGCTCATTGAAGTGGTGCTGGACAGGGTCCGCAAATTGGTGGGTATATTTAGAGCAAGGTTCCTTCCTAATAAGGCTGGAAGGCTAGGACATTGTTTGATTCTCAATAATTTGTCAGAAAAGATAATGCACCCCCACCCATTTAATAGGGGGTATAACAAACTTAAAGGGTGCGTTAACAGATCAGAAAATCTCATTGTACATCTTTTATTTTTGTTGGTTACAATTGGCCTTTTTAAAGGAACAAAAATACAAACTTGAGTTTCTTTTTCTGTAAACAGTACTATAACATGGTGTATAACTAAAGCATGTTAAAGGTGGGGCAGGTAAGTTTGAGAAACCGGCTCGAGATACACTTTGTGTTATATTCCATGGAATGCTCTTAACATCCCGATAGCAATGAATATCTGAAGTGCTTTGACAAAAAATCCATTAAAAAATTTCATCTGTGGAAGCCGTGGCACTGTAATAAGCACGACCAATCATCTGAGCCGGCCCGGCTAAAATAACTGGATGGCCTACCTGCCTGTCAGCCTTCCATCGGTGCACAAACTTATCTCGTGCCCTCATTGGTCATGTGCGCGTTCGTGTGTGTTGGAGATTTTTTTTCTCCAACCTGTTATGGTGATTGTCTCTCTCTCCTTTTGTTTCAGTCTGACCAGTGCACCGGTCTTCAGGGTTTCCTGGTGTTCCACAGCTTCGGAGGGGGCACCGGCTCTGGTTTCACCTCCCTGCTGATGGAGCGTCTGTCCGTCGACTACGGCAAGAAGTCCAAGCTGGAGTTCTCCATCTACCCAGCTCCCCAGGTGTCCACCGCTGTGGTGGAGCCCTACAACGCCATCTTGACCACCCACACCACCCTGGAGCACTCTGACTGTGCCTTTATGGTTGATAACGAGGCCATCTATGATATCTGCCGTAGGAACCTCGATATCGAGCGTCCCTCTTACACAAACCTCAACAGGTTGATCAGTCAGATTGTGTCCTCCATCACTGCATCCCTTCGCTTTGATGGTGCCCTCAATGTTGATCTGACAGAGTTCCAGACCAACTTGGTGCCCTATCCCCGTATCCACTTCCCTCTGGCCACCTATGCCCCTGTTATCTCTGCAGAGAAAGCTTACCATGAGCAGTTAACCGTGTCAGAAATCACTAATTCCTGCTTCGAGCCAGCCAATCAGTTGGTGAAATGTGACCCACGCCACGGTAAATACATGGCCTGCTGCCTTTTGTATCGTGGTGATGTCGTTCCCAAAGATGTGAACGCTGCCATTGCCACCATCAAAACCAAGCCCTCCATCCAGTTTGTGGACTGGTGCCCCACTGGTTTCAAGGTGGGCATCAACTACCAGCCGCCCACTGTAGTTCCTGGTGGAGACCTGGCCAAGGTCCAGAGGGCTGTGTGCATGCTGAGCAACACCACTGCTATTGCAGAGGCCTGGGCTCGGCTTGACCACAAGTTTGATCTGATGTACGCTAAGCGTGCCTTTGTGCACTGGTATGTGGGTGAGGGTATGGAGGAGGGAGAGTTCTCTGAGGCCAGAGAGGACATGGCCGCTCTGGAGAAAGATTACGAGGAGGTTGGAGCTGATAGTCAGGGGGATGATGAGGAAGGAGAGGAGTATTAAATTATGTATGCTTTTAATTAACCCAAAAAAATAAAGATTGTTTATTGACTGTACTATTGTTTGCTCTCCTTTTCACACCACTCCACAGGGCACATGTACTGTTGGGACATTATTTTTTAATAGAGCAGTTTCGATTGTTTTGTTTCTGTAGTTGGCACTTATGCTTAAAGCATTCTGCAATCTCTGGTAGTCATATCACATAATAGATTCAAATGCATTCAAGCCATGTTTTTCAGTTCACCTCGTATTTGTTTAGGTATGTTTTACATATATAAATACAACTGGGACAGCAATACATCTTGATGTAAAGTCATCTTTATGCAATTAGAACAGTTAATCTCAGTCTATTTCAATCTAAAGGTTGAGTTTATCAGATAAAACAAGTAAACTGTTGTGTGTATATATTAACTATAAATAAATGGTGTATTTTAGAATACATTTAATATAATGATGCTCAAATGTCAAACTACTATATTGTATTTTTCCTCTGTAGCATAAAGGAAGTAGGCTGCAACTGCATTTTGTTTGGCAACCCTGTGTTGCGAATCGACATATGAAGCCTAAATCCCAAAACGATATTGAATACTGGAATTGAGCAATATCTTCTTGCAGACCCAGTTACCACACCTACTTTTGACCGTTTTAAACGTTTTTTCTCACAGAAAACTACCACTAGGGGTCTCCAGGTAACTGGAAATCATGACTTTTGAAGAGCCTTTCACTTCAACACTGTTTTTAAGACCGTTATCGCATCTTAAATTGCAAACCATTAAATAAGTTTGAACACAAATCTCACCATTGTCTCTGAATTAGACGGAGATCACTGGTGGCGTATATGAATTTAGGGGAATCTTGATATAAATACAAGTCTCTTTATTGGTCGGTAGTACCTTGTTGGTGACCGTGAATGCTTTATTCTGAATTTGATCAAAAAAACAAATGGCACAATGCTATGCGACCATGATGCAGTTAAATGCATAGCAAACAATTGGTAAAAATAAATAGATTTGCAGCATTTAAATATTTGCAAGGCAGTAGACAAAACTTGTAATATTGCAACATGGGAACATGTTTTTGAAAGACACGACCTAAAACTGTGAAAATATGAAAAACAAAACAGACACACAAGTACTTTTCCCAAGTTTATTTACACTCCATAAACCATCCAATTGTTTTTTTGCAACTACAGTGACACATTTGGAATAGAAACACGTTACATTTCTAGTACAAAGGCAAGATTTTGGGCTTCAGCGTATTGGTAAGGAATTAAGCTTTCAAGGGGTTTTTCTTATTGGACCTATTCCTCTCCCTCTCCCTCAATGTCCGAACTTGTAATGATAGTTAAACATTCATTTTTAGAATTAATTGTATCATGTTTAACTAATGCCTTTTTGTCCCTTAATATTCCTCTCCCTCTTCCTCTCCCTCACCCTCAATGGAGTCAACTCCAACCTCCTCGTAATCTTTCTCCAGAGCGGCCATGTCCTCTCTGGCCTCAGAGAACTCTCCCTCCTCCATACCCTCACCCACATACCAGTGCACAAAGGCACGCTTAGCGTACATCAGATCAAACTTGTGGTCAAGCCGAGCCCAGGCCTCTGCAATAGCAGTGGTGTTGCTCAGCATGCACACAGCCCTCTGGACCTTGGCCAGGTCTCCACCAGGAACTACAGTGGGCGGCTGGTAGTTGATGCCCACCTTGAAACCAGTGGGGCACCAGTCCACAAACTGGATGGAGCGCTTGGTTTTGATGGTGGCAATGGCAGCGTTCACGTCTTTGGGAACGACATCACCACGATACAAAAGGCAGCAGGCCATGTATTTACCGTGGCGTGGGTCACATTTCACCAACTGATTGGCTGGCTCGAAGCAGGAATTAGTGATTTCTGACACGGTTAACTGCTCATGGTAAGCTTTCTCTGCAGAGATAACAGGAGCATAGGTGGCCAGAGGGAAGTGGATACGGGGATAGGGCACCAAGTTGGTCTGGAACTCTGTCAGATCAACATTGAGGGCACCATCAAAGCGAAGGGAGGCAGTGATGGAGGACACAATCTGACTGATCAACCTGTTCAGGTTTGTGTAAGAGGGACGCTCGATATCGAGGTTCCTACGGCAGATATCATAAATAGCCTCATTATCAACCATGAAGGCACAGTCAGAGTGCTCCAGGGTGGTGTGGGTGGTCAGGATGGCGTTGTAGGGCTCCACCACAGCGGTGGACACCTGGGGAGCTGGGTAGATGGAGAACTCCAGCTTGGACTTCTTGCCGTAGTCGACGGATAGACGCTCCATCAGCAGGGAGGTGAAACCAGAGCCGGTGCCCCCTCCGAAGCTGTGGAACACCAGGAAACCCTGAAGACCGGTGCACTGGTCAGACTGGAAACAAAGGGGGAGACAAACATCACCTTGGGAACAGTTATGCAATGTAATTTGAAATCAATATTAGGATTAAATCCCTTTGGTTATAAATATGCCCACCAGTTTGCGGATCCTGTCCAGCACTGTGTCAATGATCTCCTTTCCGATGGTGTAGTGTCCTCGGGCGTAGTTGTTGGCAGCATCCTCCTTGCCAGTGATCAGTTGCTCAGGGTGGAAGAGCTGGCGGTAGATCCCAGTGCGCACCTCATCTGAAGAGACAAAAACAGCCATGGAGTCATTTGTGGCTTACAATGTAGACTTTCAACTTGCTTAAATAAAATGTCAGCCACAGGTGATGACACTTACCGATGACAGTGGGCTCCAGGTCCACAAAAACTGCTCTGGGGACGTGCTTTCCAGCTCCAGTCTCACTGAAGAAGGTGTTGAAGGAGTCGTCTCCTCCTCCAATCGTCTTGTCACTGGGCATCCGTCCGTCCGGCTGGATCCCATGTTCCAGGCAGTAAAGCTCCCAGCAGGCATTGCCAATCTGGACTCCAGCCTGACCGACGTGGATAGAGATGCATTCACGCTGGGGGGCAGAAAAAGAAGATTTGGATTACAGATCTTATTTAACCTCAAACCTTGCACTTAAAAATAGTTTTTTTAAGAGGAAATGTTCACAACTGCTTTAATTTTTTATTAAAAGAGCCACACACATACTGTAAGTGATGTAGCTAGACTTCTTACAAGTGGGTCATTCAAACCAGACAGCCAAGTTATTCAACAATAGAACGTTTTTTTGTCTGATAGCAAACTTCAAAATGGCAGCGCACCAGAGCCTGTTTCGATTCATTCTCCCCACTGCATGACAAGCATTTACTATTCCTGTGAAAGCATCTCTGTTTTGAGGTTCAGTCTACAATTTATTTTACAGGACCAAATGCATTTTAAAATGGTCCCTGCTTCCACATGAAACAGGTTTATTGCATGCAGAATGATTGAAAGAGAGAGGATTATGTAGGTCAGACATGTTGCAGAGTGCTGTCCGTTTAAAAAAAAGAAAAGAAAGGGCGCACTCATCCACTGGAAATGGAGGTCTCCCATTCATTTTCATATATTTTTACAGAAAAAATATTTAACAGAGATATTCTATATTTCATCCACATCATAATTTCACTGGGATGTATAACAACATAAACACATATTTAGAGCAAGGTGCATTCAATTATATTTTTAATAAAAGCTTAAAAGAAAAAAAGGTCTTAAAATCAAGATTACAAACAAGTAATAGTATATTTACAAATCTAGTGAAGCTCAGGAATAGATATTGGCTTGCACTGCAAAAGGCATGAGGCTACATTTTCATCAAGCATTGAAAGACAGCTAATCATTTGCATAGCAGCAGCCATATTGACTATCGCACAATATACAGCCATCACCCACTACAGCAAACGGGAAGAAAGGATGACGTCATATGAATATTTTACGATTAAAATCCTTTACTCTTCTTTACATGCACTCTCAACCATTAACATTGAAAATAAAATATCTAGAAATGATGCTCACCATGATTGCTCGTCTTTATTATGCAATGTAATACGACAAGCCTGAAGAGTGTGTGTCCGAGTCTGAGAATGATCTGCTGCTTAATGGACCACTCACACTCTGCCTCTATCGGAGAGCAGGTGAAGTGCGCCAAATAAAAACTCCTCCTCTTTCTGCCGCAGTAACCATTTCACACCCAAAGCAAATAAGATGACATGCATCCCTATAATGGAGAATAAACCTCAGAGACAAATAATCAGTACATTGTCAAATGTCCCAAACTCATGTCACAGTTACAGAATCTCAGGTTGCTGTCTGGATCTGAAATAGTTACTGCGGCAGAAAAAGGAGGGGTTTTCATTTGTTGGCGCAATTCACCTGTTCTCCTGCAGAGGCAGAGTATTTAGTTTGGTGCATCACCATATCAGCCTCAGATACTGCACCCCTCAGACGAGTACACTCCTCCGGCTTGTCTCATTACATTGCATAATATTGACAAGCAATCATGGTAAGAATTTATATTTATTATTTATGTAATGTCTGTGAATAGAAGAGGGTTTAACGTATAGATGTATCTGTCGCCATCCTCTGCTCCACTGTAGGTAATTAGGGTTGTGCATTGTTAATATGGCTGCTTCGAGACAACAAAAACGAATACACGCATAATAGAAATGTATGCAATGTATTTCTGTAGTGCATCCTACACTCAGCTTGACTAGCTTTGTAGTAATTATTTAGCTTTTATATTATAATTAAGCGTGTTTGTTAAATGATACATCCCTCCTTTAGAAATAAAAACAGATCTAAAATAATTAATTAGTGTCAATTGTAAATGAATGGGAGGCTTTTATTCTCAGTGGATGATTTAAACACAGTGCAACATGACCTAAATCATCGCGTCTCTTTCTCTCGCGGTAATTTTGCACATTTTATACATGGTCCTATAGGTGGTTCCTAACCAGATAGATTAGGGATTGCTATATATTTACACACATGGAACATTTTAGAATCAATGTTCCTGCCCCTAGAACTACCAAAGCTTATGAAAGACAAGCAATTTCAAGTGTCTCTTAAATGCTCTTAACAAAAGATGTTGAAACTACTAGAAGTGAGTCTTAATATTAATATTTTTCACTGACAATAAGTGTACATGTCTTGTTTAAATGCGTTTGTATGAAGGGGGAGACATGCAAGTGATTTTCATTGAAGGAGCAGTTGGGTGAATTACAAAGGGTTGAACACAAGATGAAATGTAGGCAAGGGTGTACGAGTTTGGAAACACTGTACTGGGGGTCTGCAAGTGGCAAACATTGCAATGTGTTACTCTGAAATGAATTATAAACTGAAGCTCAAACGGATTTCATATTATACAAAATTGTAATTTTAAAGGCTTTTTCGTGCATGGTGTGGATAATTAATTGAAACGGTTTCTGATGCACCGCCATTTTGCAGCTCATTTTTAAAGGCTAACTGACAACATCACAATGAAGTGTTAGGCATTTACAGTGTTCCAAAAATAAAAGCAGTTGTAAAGTTTCATTTTTTAAGGTATGTTTCAAGTTGAATACATTCTGTAATTCAAATCTTCTCTCTCTGCCCAACAGCGTGAGTGCATCTCTATCCACGTCGGTCAGGCTGGAGTCCAGATTGGCAATTCATGCTGGGAGCTTTACTGCCTGGAACATGGGATCCAGCCGGACGGACAGATGCCCAGTGACAAGACGTGTGGAGGAGGAGACGACTCCTTCAACACCTTCTTCAGTGAGACTGGAGCTGGAAAGCACGTCCCCAGAGCAGTTTTTGTGGACCTGGAGCCCACTGTCATCGGTAAACTCTCATTAAATATGATAAACTATCATAGTTGCTGCCATGTGTAGGTTTTTAACCAGTCAGTCAAACACTCCTATAATTGTTGCTTATTCTCCATAGATGAGGTGCGCACTGGGATCTACCGCCAGCTGTTCCACCCTGAGCAGCTGATCACTGGCAAGGAGGATGCTGCCAACAACTACGCCCGAGGACACTACACCATCGGCAAGGAGATCATTGACACAGTGCTGGACAGGATCCGCAAACTGGTGGGTAACTTGATGTATAGAGTGACACATTCCTAAAACAAATTCAAAATATCAAAATGAGTTGTTGAATTTGTATCTCATATTTGTCTCTCTCCATCTCCAGGCTGACCAGTGCACCGGTCTTCAGGGTTTCCTGGTGTTCCACAGCTTCGGAGGGGGCACCGGCTCTGGTTTCACCTCCCTGCTGATGGAGCGTCTGTCCGTCGACTACGGCAAGAAGTCCAAGCTGGAGTTCTCCGTCTACCCAGCTCCCCAGGTGTCCACCGCTGTGGTGGAGCCCTACAACGCCATCCTGACCACCCACACCACCCTGGAGCACTCTGACTGTGCCTTCATGGTTGATAACGAGGCCATCTATGATATCTGCCGTAGGAACCTCGATATCGAGCGTCCCTCTTACACAAACCTCAACAGGTTGATCAGTCAGATTGTGTCCTCCATCACTGCCTCCCTTCGCTTTGATGGTGCCCTCAATGTTGATCTGACAGAGTTCCAGACCAACTTGGTGCCCTATCCCCGTATCCACTTCCCTCTGGCCACCTATGCCCCTGTTATCTCTGCAGAGAAAGCTTACCATGAGCAGTTAACCGTGGCAGAAATCACTAATTCCTGCTTCGAGCCAGCCAATCAGTTGGTGAAATGTGACCCACGCCACGGTAAATACATGGCCTGCTGCCTTTTGTATCGTGGTGATGTCGTTCCCAAAGACGTGAACGCTGCCATTGCCACCATCAAAACCAAGCGCTCCATCCAGTTTGTGGACTGGTGCCCCACTGGTTTCAAGGTGGGCATCAACTACCAGCCGCCCACTGTAGTTCCTGGTGGAGACCTGGCCAAGGTCCAGAGGGCTGTGTGCATGCTGAGCAACACCACTGCTATTGCAGAGGCCTGGGCTCGGCTTGACCACAAGTTTGATCTGATGTACGCTAAGCGTGCCTTTGTGCACTGGTATGTGGGTGAGGGTATGGAGGAGGGAGAGTTCTCTGAGGCCAGAGAGGACATGGCCGCTCTGGAGAAAGATTACGAGGAGGTTGGAGTCGACTCCATTGAGGGTGAGGGAGAGGAAGAGGGAGAGGAATATTAAGGGACAAAAAGGCATTAGTTAAAAATGATACAATTAATTCTAAAAATGAATGTTTAACTATCATTACAAGTTCGGCTGTTCAGAGTTAGCGATCCTGAAAAATCAGTTTGACTCTGTTCTTAATAAATTTCCTACAACATATTAAGTCGTCTGTGTTTTTTCTGTGTTTTTTCTTTTGGTTTTAAGATTTTTAAAAAAACATTTACATTAGAGTGTTACCAATTGTATATGATCAGATAAGGGAATTCGTTTTACAGAATACACACAATGTTTAATTTATACTTTGAAAACTGTTAGAGCCCAGGTAAATATATACGATCATTTTATTTGTGCTGGATCTTCTATTTTTGTTACAACAGGGCCATATAGTAATTAGTGTCATTTTGCAACATGGCACACTCCTAAGAACCCTATCCCTATCTAGATATGGGCTAATTTTAAGCTAACAAAAACCCAACAATACTTAGTTTTAGTAGATTATTCATTATTGAAAACATGATAATTATAATCAAATGTTATCTCTGCCAATAAATCCCCCCTTATCCAACACCCTAATCCTTTATAACTAAACTAGCATGGTGTTTTTATCGAATTTCAAATGGTTTAATAGCCCATTCATGTGTGCCCACTCCAACGTCAACAGTCCCTAATCACCTTGGCATGTAAGAGGCATCAGCATCAGCTTCTCACATTTTACTTAAGGATGCACCAAGCATTCCTGTTACTTTTGGTACCCTGTCCATTCCTAAAGCCATAGTACCTTAACTTCTATCTTCCTAGAGTTTGTCACCAGACTTCCTCCTTCAGTTGGGGAGTTTTCTACAAAGGTGCTTAATTCTTTCAATACCGGGGTTAGTATCTGCTAAACAAACCTCTGAACTCACGTGCATACTTGCCAACCCTCCCGATTTCATTGCACTCTCCCGGTTTCCTCCCGGGGTCATATTTCTCCCGCATTTCTGCCGATTTCTGACAAAATCAGATTTACTGAGGACTGTTTCCACTCGAACTTTAATACAGCTACACCATTGTTTGGTTTCCATGGTAACCAGTCTCTGAGTCTGAGAGGGTGAGGAAGATAGTCACAGAAAACAGAATCGACAACTACTCTACTCTCTGCTCACTCCTTTCCTGTAAGATGGTGCTACAGGCCGCCATAACAATAAGCATGTTAATGTTAATCTAACAGCTCCCCCCCCCCCCCCCCCCCTCCCCCATTTTGCATGTTGAAATGCTCCCGATTTCTGAGGTCTCAAGGTTGGCAAGTATGCTCACGTGTCACCAAGTGTTCTGCATCTCCCCTGAGACATTGGAATATCTTCAAAAGACCTCTTTCCTTTTTTTGTCAGAGCTGTTTATGTATTGATTGCTGTGGGGGTGTTACAAGCATTTCACAAATATAAGAAAGCATGTTTCTCGAATACATTACTCACCCTGACCTGAAGTGTTAATTTAAGATATTTTCTGATAAAATGATTTTGTAGTCTCTATCTGACACTTAGCAGCTGTTACTGTCGAAAGATCATTCATTGGGTTAAGGATATATTCAAGGGCTTGTTTCTTTACATATAATAATGACAGACATAATACAAATATCATATCATAGATTTAACTACAAATCTCAACACTTATTAAAGATTTATTTACATTAGACCAAAAAAAAGAAACACAGACCACTTTATATTTTTCCGGACATTTATTAGAGAGCAAAACAGACACATGTTGAATCACTAGCTCTGAAAAGACAAACTCTGAGTTGTAAAACAACTTACTTTTTGAGATGCCTTCAATTATTAGCAATTGTTTCCTGACTAACTAGTCAGGAAACTTTTAATACTCCTCTTCCTCACGCTCGAACAAGTAAACTCCAACCTAACAACCTGGTTTTATCCCCCCCGGCCTTTCTTATCACATCAAATTGACATCCACATTTATTTTTGGAATGTATTTAAGGACGAATCAACATTATGATATTGAACTAGTTCTTAAGTTTTCGTTCTTTAAAATTCTTCTCCCTCTTCCTCTCCATCACCCTCAATGGAGTCGACTCCAACCTCCTCGTAATCTTTCTCCAGAGCGGCCATGTCCTCTCTGGCCTCAGA